CCCTACCCCCTTCCCCACTGACCTGGACAGGAGGGGCGGGGAGCGGTCAGAGCGTCCAAGACGGCCTCGGCGAGGAAGCCAACATCATTGATTTTACTATGGTCGTGGCCCCATGTTGGCCTTCTGAGGGGGCAGGGCTAATTAAAGCTCCCCTCTTCTTTGATCGATTTCCTCCACGATGGCCGCAAAGAGGACCCCAGGATGCCCCAAGAGGCCGCAGGATGGCCCCAAGATGGCCCCAAGAGGCCCCCCAAGAGGCCCCCAGGAGGCCTCCAAGAGACCCCCAGGAGGCCCAAGAGACCCCCCAGAGGCACCCAAGGTGCTCCCAGAGGCCTCGGCGATACTGTCAAATCATTGTTTGCACTAAGGTTTTAGCCACATGTTGGCCTCTTGGGGGGGGCACTGATTAAGATGACTCCAAGAGCGCCTCGGAGAGCCCAAAATGACCTCCAAGATGGCTCAAGAAATCCCAAGATGTCTCATACTGGCTTCCTCTGTGTGCTGCCCACTTCCCTGATCGAGACAATCCCACCAGCCCTCTGGGCGTCGGTGGTTTAAGGCGTTTCCTCTTCCACCCCTCCCTCTTTCCCTTCGGGGAGGGGTTTACCCCTCCCCCTACCCCCTCCCCGTGGACCTGGACGGGGGGGGCCGCGAGCGGTCAGAGCGTCCAAAACGGCCTCGGCGAGGAAGCCAAAATCATTGATTTTACTAAGATTTTGGCTCCATGTTGGCCTCCTGAGGGGGCAAATATGGCCCCAAGAAGCGCCCAGGAGGCCCCCAAAGGCCCCAAGATGGCCCCAAGAGTCCCCAAGAGGCCCCCAGGAGGCCCCAAAGAGGATCCCGAACGGCCCACAGAGGCCCCCCCGAGGCACCCAAGACGCCGAAAAGCCCCTCAGGACGACCCTCTACTCGCCTGGGCGTCGTTTCTGGACGGGCTGGTGGGGATACGCGAAGCGTCTAGAATTTGTTCGGGAGGGCAAGCCCGCACGAGCAGGCTCCGCCCTTCTTTTCGTCCCGTTCTGTGCCCAACCTGCATCTTGGGAGGAGGAGGAGGAGGAGGAGGAGGAGGAGGAGGAGGAGGAGGAGGAGGAGAAGGAAAAGGAGGAGGAGGGGGTGCGACCATGTGGTTGCGCCCGCTCTCCCCCCGTCCGCCCTCTCACTCCCCGTCCCTGGGATGTCCTCCCCCGCGCCTCGCCGCCCAGAGGGCTGGCTGAGGCCACGCGTCGGCTGCCCCGCTCGGCCCCAACTCCGCTGACAAGACTCGGGCGGGTGGTACGGGGGGGGGTTACATACATGATTCTACATATATATATATACACACATACACATGAGTGCTATATATACACACATCAATATTTGTATACATATACATACATATATACATAAGGAAAGAACTGAAAAACCTTAAGGGGCCCTAAAAGGCTCCTGTTGGACCCGGCAGGGGCACAAAAGGGGCCATAAAGGGCCTCTCTAAGGCCCGTTTCTCTATACCCCCCATGAGGGGCACCCCGCATTACCGCCCGCCGCCCGATCAACCTCGCTCCAGCTGAGGCTTCTGCTCCCGCCCCTCTCCAGATACTCCTGCTCCCGCGGCCCCCGGTCCTGCCCCCCACTCCTCCTCCTCCTCCTCCTCCTCCTCCTCCTCCGCCTCCTCCTCCTCCTCCCCTCCTCCTCCTCCTCCTCCTCCTCCTCCTCCTCCCCGTCCTCCTCCTTCCTCCTCCTCCTCCCTCCTCTCCTCCTCCTCCTCCTCTCTCCTCCTCCTCCTCCTCCTCCTCCTCCTCCTCCTCCTCCTCCTCCCCGTCCTCCTCCTTCCCCCTCCTCCTCCTCCTCCACCTCCTCCTCCTCCTCCTCCTCCTCCTCCTCCTCCCCCTGCCTTTGCTGCTACTCCCCTCTGCTCCTCCTGCCCTTGCTGCTATTTCACTTTCTGTGCGGGGCTTAGCGGGGGTCGCGGGGTGGCCAAACCTGGGCGTGCAAGACGCTGCTACCGCTTCGCGCTCAAAGGTCGGGGAGCTCCATTGGGCCCGCTCCATTGGGGAGCTGAAAGATCGGGGAGTGACCTTTGGTGACCAAAGGTCACTCCGGTGAAAGGTCAGTCTTACGTGTAATCGATGCCACCCGCCCGAGAGAACCGCTCCCCAACCCCCTCGCGGGGTCCACCCTGGCCGCCTCTTCGGGGCGCAGCTCCGGCCGCGGCGGCGAGACGCCCCCCAGGAGGCCCAGGGGGGGCCGCCGTTGTCTCGGCTGCCCCTCCTCCGACACGCCCTCGCCCCCGCCCCAGACCCCGCTCGGGCGTCGCTGAATGGGGGGCGATAAATGGGGGGGCGATAAATGGGGGGGGTGAAAAGCGCCCTTTTCGGGGCCTGAAGGGCCCCTTCTTTGGGGCCCTGAAAGGGCCCCCTCAGGGGCCCTCCAGGGCCCCTGTTCTGCAGCCCCGCTGCCCCCGCACGTATCGTCCCCCCCCCCCCCATGACGCGACGCCCAGCCCCCCGTCCAAGACTGCGCGCTGGCCAGCGCGCCCAGCGGCCCGGAGCCGACGGACCTAGAGTCCTCCCAAATGGGGTCCGAGAAGGTGGGGTCTGAGGATCGCGACGCATCGCCGATGCGTCGGCGATGCATCGGCGACATCGGCGTGTTGTCGATGCATCGGCGATTCGGAGCGACCCTTCGGCCCCATCTACTCATACCCCATCTGCGAGGTCCAGAAGACCGCAACCAGTCCCCTACAGCGCCGCCCGCGAAGGAGGCCGCGAGCTCGCGCTCGAACGCGCCCAGGGTGCACGCCCTGCGCACGGCAACCTTGGGCGCGGCGGGGCGAGTGCTGCCCCGTTGTTTGTTGATCTGCGTGTGTATGTGGTTATGTAGATGCTTATGCATGAAGTTGTGTATATGTTTCTGGAAGTGTACATGTATAGGTGTACATATGTATGTATGTATGTATGTATGTATGCATGCATGCATGCATGCATGCATGCATGCATGTATGTATGTATGTATGTATGTACGCATGCATGCATGTATGCATGTATGTATATATGTATGTATGTTTGTCTGCATGTATGTACGTATGTATGTATGTGTATGTATGTATGCATGCATGCATGCATGCATGTATGTATGTATGCATGCATGCGTGTATGTATGTATGTATTTATGTATGTATGTATAGGTGTATGTATATGTATGCAGGTCTATATCGGTACATATAGAGGTGACATGTTACGCCCGTGCGTATGTATGTGTACGTGTATATACATAGCCATAGGTATATTCATATGAATGTGCAAATGTATTGTACGTGTGCACGCATATGTATACATACACATCTGTACGTATTGCAATTACGCATCTATGAACAGTGATTCCCCAATCAGTGCTTGCACTGAAGTGGTCCTAGCGGAGGTTGAAAGATTTGGCAACATTTTCGCGCCGATTTTGGTCGCACGCTGGGTTCCCGGGTTCCTGGTTCCGAATTCCCAGGTTCCCGGTTCCCAGGTTCCCGGCTCCCGGGCCGATTTCGGTAGGCGGCGAGGTTCCCAGAGTCCTGGGTTCCTGGTCGCTCTTCCTATCGATCGGTCTCAGCATCGACCTAATTTCCCACCTCTCTATCGATCTCACCATCGATCTCACAATCGATCTTCCAATCGATCTCGCAAGCGATCTCACTAGAGATCGCACGAGCGATCTCGCGATCGATCTCTCTATCGATGTAATTGAGTCGATTTCACTCTCGGTCTCACGATCGACCTTACAATCGTCCTCTATCGATTCCACTATCGATCTCATTATCGATCTCAAGATCCACATGACTAATTTTCAAATCATCCAGTGATTGGGTTATCTCAGGTGTACTCTATCAATATCTACGCCTCTTATATGTTCGTTGTTGTTGTTGCTGTTGCTGTTGCTGTTGCTGCTGTTGTTGTTGTCGTTGTTGTTGTTGTTGTTGTTGTTGTTGTTGTTGTTGTTGTTGTTGTTGTTGCTGTTGTTGTTGTTGTTGTTGTTGCTCATTTGTATATCTTTTCGGGCAACGGTACGCCCTCCCAAGCCGACTCCCCACACATCCGCTGGCAATGTGAGACCACACTCGCTGCCACCATCGAGCTGCCCGCAGAAGCGGGGGCGCGGAGGAGGGCCAGCCAGACAACGGCGGCCCTTTCTGGCGTTATTCGTCCTCTCTGGTTGATGATTCTCAGCACCCAGGCCCCCTCGGGTCACGAAACAAATCTCATCCAGGCGAAAGACCCCGCCATATGCAGTTGTGAGTACCGTCGTGGGGGCGGCGGTGCCACACGGACCTTCCCACGGGGGCTCTAGGTGGAGCTCCTTATGAGGCGGCGGTGCCATGCGAACCCTCCCACTGGGGCCTTCGGTGGAGCTCCCTACGGAGCCACGAAACGTGAGAGGGGTGTGTCGAAATGGCCCGAGGCCGCCATGCGAACCCTGCCACAAGGTTCTTCGTTGGAGGTCCCTATGGGACCGTGTGAGGGGTCGCCGAAATGGTGCACACGCGGAAAGCAGAGGCACGATGCTGATGGTGATGACGATGATGATGATGCCGATGGTGATGACAGGACGCGGAAATGGGAGAGGGTGGAGGGGCGGAGGGCAGCGGGAAGGAATGAAGAAGGAAGGAAGGAACGAAGGAGATGCGGGGCGCTATCTCTTCAAAACAAGGACCCATCACCACAGGATGCTTGGGAATGACTGGATGTTGCTCTGCAGTTTCGGAGCCTCTGGGGGGGCCTTACCAGCCCTCATGACAGTCAAATAATGACTCGGGATGAAAATCTGGCCCCGTGGATTGGGTCCAGACTGCTGGGGGTCCACGTTTCGAACCACATGACGACCTCGGGGGTCCGGGAACGTGTGTTCGCGCCAACGAGTGCTAGTCCACCGAAGCCCTTCCGCTACGACGCAGTCGTTGCATGAAGGACGGGCACAGGCTGCGTGTTGTGGGTGGAGCTGAACGGGGTAACACACACACACACACATCGGGTTGACACACGTCCTGAGGATCATTGGCCTGGGCCTCATGGACACTTGTCAGCCGCCGCGGCAGGATCCGCCCCGATGAGCGGGTCAGGGTGTACCCTGGGAGGGTCCTGCGCGTGGGTGGTAGGGGGATCGAGGCCTCCTAGCTTTGGGCCCGAGTACTCCAGATTTCGTAATAAAAGGGAGGGGGTCTGAACCCTCCAAGACAAGCCATTTCAGACCTCCCCCGTGGGAGAACCCTCCAAAACATCGTCCCCAGACCCAGGCCCTCCAAGATAGCCTGGAAGAGACCCCCCCCCGAAATGAGACCCCCCTCCCTTTATTACGAAATCTGGAGTAGATGACGTCAGAGGATCGCACCGCATCGCCGATGCATCAGCGATTCATCGGCGAAGCCGCGGCGACGTCCCCGGAGCTGCGGCGACGCCGATCGGCGATGCGCCGCCGTCCCCCGACCCCGTCTACGGTCGGACCTAGGCCAGACTAACACCCCTCGAGAACATGAGACCCTCCGTCGGCCAGAGCAAGCAGAGCATCCCAGGGTACCCTCCCCAGGATGCACAGGAGCATCCAGCAAGCACGAAAAGCATTAAAAATACCCCTCCACGAGCCGACCTCGATCTCATACCTCGGTCCGGCTGCACTCGGACCCCACCGCGCGGAGGCCTATAGAGGGGAGATGGGCGCTCGCTTCTGTCGGCGGCACTGTGCGCAGGCGGAACAGCCGCCGCTGCCTCGGCTGGCCCTCCTGCGCCCGAGAGGGGGGGAGCGCGAGGCGGGCGAGGGGGGAAGGGCGCAAGCGGGATGCAGGACCGACAGGCGCCGCCCCACGGCGCGCTGCTCGCGCCGGGGGAGAGAGGACGTCTAGCACCAGCCCAAGCAAGCCGAACGGACATCCGGAAGCTTATACCTCTGCCGTCATCGGGCGTTCGGTAAGGGGGGGGCGAGAAAGGGGGGGGGCGTCGAGGGTTGCGCGAAAGGGGCCCTGAATGGGCCCTAAACGAGCCCCCTAGGGCCCCGAACGGGTACGAAAGGTGCACGAAAGGTGCACCTTTCTTACCCCCCATCTATCGCCCCCCCCCCCCCATTATCGGGGATGGACAGACCTCCCTTTAGTAAAACGTTGTTTAGTGAAAACGACCTGAGGCCCAAACCTGGCGGGCGCAAGCCTGGAAAATAACGGCCGCGGCGCCCTCTCGAGAACCGAAGACGGACAATTCACTAATCGACGTGTCACTGTTGGGGGTTCTATCGCCCCCCTCCATTAGCGAACGCCCGGCGTCGATCCTCCCTCTAAGGTGCCGGAGGCGCCGCCAGGGGGTATCCAGCGCCGACCCGAGAGGTCCGCGCGGACCTCAGAGTTTTTGTGGATGTTTCTGTCATCGCTCGTTCCCCATATCGGCCCGTATCATAAGGATGCGCGATAAGGATGCACGGGCATTGCACGCCCACTTCGGAGCTTTTCGAGCGGGGCGCGGCCCACGAGAGCGGCCAAGGATTGACCGAGGAGGTTGCCTGTAAGCTTTCGGAGCTCCGCGCGTCCTTCTTGGATCGGAGCTGGACCCCCCTCCCCGGCGTGCGGAACGCGCCAGGGGCGGCGCCAGAGGCGCTGCCAGCCGAACCTCAGCGCCGACCCAAGAGGTCCGAGCGGAGCTCTGGTAGCTTATGTTTATGCCATGCTTCTCCCTCGAAGCGTGGGCGGGTTGACTGTAAACCCACTTGTTGAAGGCCTGGAAATGGGCACCAACACCAACACAGGGGGGGGTGCCTCCACAGGGGGAAGATGATCCTAGACTTCGGTGTTGGTGGCACTATGTCGGTCACCTTGGAAGCCAGAATATTACCACCCTCACCGAGATCGGGACCTTCTTCTCTCGGTGGAGGCACACTGCCGATATTGGTGTTGGTGTCCACCTCTGGGCCTGGTTAATTTCGGCTATACGCAAGAGTGACCCTGGGTGAGAGTGACCTTTGGTGCGCGGCTTTGGGGGGGCCGCGGGGGGACCAGACCCGGGCGCGCAACCAGCTGCTGCTGCTTCGTTTTCAGCCATCTGGGGACCCACCTGTGCCCGCACCAAAGGTCACTCCGGCGAAAGGCCACTCCTACGTCCAGTCGAGAACTCGCACTCCGCAGCAAGCCCGTGGGCAGCCCGGTGCGGAAAGCAGGGTCGACTGCACTCGAGGAGGAGGAGGAGGAGGAGGAGGAGGAGGAGGAGGAAGAAGAGGAGGAGGAGGAGGAGGAGGAGGGAGAGGAGGAGGAGGAGGGAGGAGGAGGAGGAGGAGGAGGAGGAGGAGCACGAGGAGGAGGAGGAGGAGGCAGAGACGGGCCGGCGGGGGCGCGCTGCCCCGCCACGGCCCGCGGCTCTGGGGCCGCCGACCGCCCCGCGGGGCCCCGCCCGGAAGCGCTGCCGGCGCCCCGGTGGGCCCTCGGGCGGGCCGAGAGGGGGCCCCGCAGCGTCCGACGGCACGCACTTGCAGGCGTAAGCCCGTCGTGCAATTCGCATGCGACCGGCTTGTGAACACGAGGCATGCGACCGTCAGTCGTACCCTCCCAGGTGCCAGGGTCGCGGGCACACAGGGGTTCACAAGCGGTGCGAGGGGACCCCCAGACCTCCAACGCATTGGACAAAGATCAAGACGGAGGTTCCTCTCAACGCTCGGCCTCTATAGCGGCCCTCGCCGGGCCCTGGGGCCGACAAGAAAGGACTCCGGATGAATGACCGGTCCTGGGGGAAGGGGTCGAGACTTCCGGACACCCCGTACTGAAAAAAACACGACATCGGATCTCTGGGACTGCAGAGGCAGACCGCAGTGCTGTCAGGAGGCAGCTACTGGGAGGTCTTCGTCGGAAAACTTCTGGGGAGGATGGGCCTCATCGCGGAGCTGCTAGGCCAGATTGGGTCGCAGACTCCGCAGGAGTGAGCCGGCTTCGGCGGGACTAAGCGGGATCAGCCCGGATTCAGCGGGATCAGAATTTGACCTCCCAGGAGTTGCAGCCGCAGTTTTTGTTGGGCCCCAGAAGGCTAAGCCGGCGATCCCACCCCTGGGCAGTCCCAGGCGGGCCGAGCATCCGCGTCAAGGTGCGCCCGGGCGCATCAGCAGAGTGAGAGAGAACACCAGCATCAACATCGCTGAGGGCGCGCCGTGGCCCGCTTGTCCTCTCTCGCCACGCCGTCTTCCTCACGCCCAGCGCCCTCCCCTGGCGGGGGGGGAGAACGGCACAATCGCAAACTCCCCGCGGTCCGCGAGGATGTCCTGAGTCGGCGCCCGCCGGACGCTCCCCCCCTTCCAGGCGCGCCTCCGGCGCCAGGGCTGTGGCGCCGCAGGCGCCGCCAGAGGGGGCGTCTGGCGCCAGCCCGAGACATCCGCGCGGACCTCTGAAAACGTGTGTTGGTGCAGCGTCTTCCTCCTCCAGAACATCCCCTCGCAATTGCCCTGTTCTCTTTCCAGATCGTTCCGCGCCGTGCCCAGTCTAGGTTGAGCAGCACTTACTATGAATATTCGCAGTAGTATCCGCAGTAGTATTATTCGTAATAATATTATTTGTATAACTAGGAATAGTGTGATTATTGTCGTTGTTGTTCGTATGAGTAGAAGTGTGATTGTTTGTATGGTTGTTAGTATTCGTTTTTGTGTGACACCTATTACGATTATTGATATTACTCTGAGTCGTAGTATTATCAAACAGATTCGTATCATTATTCGTAATATTCGCAGCCAATTAAATAGTAATAGTACTAGTTCGTTCTAACTGTATTATTATTCGTCTTCTTCGCAATACCATTCTCAATATTAGTCGTATTAGCATTGTTATTTCTTATTATTGGTACTCGGTATATCATCATAATGATGATTCCGATTCTGATTGGTATGGGCATTTGTATTATTCTTCTTAGTCGTATTATTTGTCGTACTACCATTGTTATCACTCATGCTCTTCTTCTATTTCGATCCTCCTCTCACTTAGCAGGACAACGAATGGCCAGTTTCTGAACACCCCGAACCCCACGAGAAGCTTGCTACCTCTTCGGGGCCGCTTTCCATTCCGCCCGCTTCCGCCGCCCATCCACCGCGGGGAGGTGCCAATTTTGCTTCCGCCGCCGTCCGCCAGAGTTCCTCGACCGAGACATCGACATGCGACATCCTGATTTTTTCAACACGGCGTCCGTGCAAGTCCCGACCCTTTCCCCGGGACTGGTTTCTCATCCTGAGCCGTTTTTTACGGTCCCGAGGCCCAGCGAGGGTTCCCCGAGACCGAAAACCAACCAAAAACTCCCCTCCCGATCTTTTTTACGACGCGATCGTGTCTGGGGAAGGAACCTCGGACGGCAACGGTCGCCCCCGCCGCCCCCCCGAGACAGGCGCAAACGCACCCCGCTGCCCCCCGAGACAGAAGGGGGGGACGGGCCTCCCCACCCTCGGCGTCGGCCCGCGGCGCCCCGCCGGCAGGCGCGCCGCAGGCGCGCCCGAGCGCCGCCCTCACGGGGAGGGAGCGCGCAGCCGCCGCCGCCGTCCGTCGCGGAGCGGGGGGCGGAGCAGGCTGGGGGATGCAGGAGCAAGAATGGGAGGGGGGAGGAGAGGGGGAGGATGAGAAGCAAGGAGAAGCAAGGAAAAGCAAGGAGAAGCAAGGAGAAGCAAGGAGGAGGAGGAGGAGGAGCAGGCGGAGGAGGCGGAGGCTGGAGGAGGAGGAGGACGCGGCTGCTCTGAAGACCGGATCCGTCGCCATCAGTGCCCAGTGCCCAGGAAGAGGAGGAGGAGGAGGAGGAGGAGGTGGTGAAAGAGGAGGAGGAGGAGGAGGAGGAGGAAGAGGAGGAGGAGGAGGAGGAGACGACCGTGAAACGTGCCATGGGGCACGGTGGCGGATGTGCCCCCAACCCCCCCAGCCGTGGTGGGAACCCTTTGTTGGGGAGGAGGAGGAGGAGGAGAAGGAGGAGGAAGAAGAAGAAGAAGAAGAAGACGAAGAGCTGCCCTCGGTTGAGGGCCCTGGTCACGAGAGGGATTGGATTGTGGATTTGGGCGGGGTGGGAGGGGACAAACTTGCCGGCGCCTGCAGATTTAAGCTTGTACCTATACGACTACCCTTCGGGTGATGATGTTCTGCGGGAGGGAGTTCAATTTTCGGTGTGCGCTTGGGGTCGGATCGGATTCGGCGGAAACCGCTTGGGCACCACGGGGCACCTGTTCGGCCATCTATCTGTGTATTCGACTGTCTATAGATCTATCGGCCTCAATGGCGATATTACTGTATGTATCGATATCTGCCTATCGATCTCACAATTGATCTCACTATCGATTTGTCCATCGATCTCACGATCGATTTCACAATCGAACTCAAAGGGTACCAGGGGACACCGCGCCACGGTACACCACGTGGCACCACAGGACACCACGGAGCACTACGGGACACCGGCGGGACACCCCAGAGCCATCGCCGGACAACCAGGGCTCGTAGAGTCAAGCTCACTTTCACCCCAGCCACGGCGGGTTCATTCCCCTCGCCCGCCCACGCAGCCTCGCCTCGTCCGCACGCACGACACGAACACGAAAGCGAAGCCGATTTCTGGATGGCAGTCCTCCGCTGTACTTCGAGCTCACCCCCGAAGCTCCGATGAGCTCGCGGGCTTCTGCACTTTGCTGTGTCCCTTCGCACTCCCTGCGCCGCTCAGGCTGCACTTAAGTGGTTACTGACAGTGCACTTACGGATTCCCTCGCAAAGACGAGCGCACCAGCCTCGTCGCTCATGTTGGCCCAGCGTAAAGAAGACGAAGCCAGGACGAGGACAAACTCGGGTGAGAGTGCAAATCGAGAACCTCTACTGACTATCGGGCGGCTCTGGAAGATGCCTCGGGCGCCGCGGCCTGTTCAGAGCGTTCCGGAACGTTCCGGAACGGACTTATCCTCGTGATGGCTTCCAAGCATCCCAACTGGACGACAGTGGCAATGCTAAAAATATCACTGATGACGATATTATGCCAAGGGCTGTATTGTGCTGTTCTGCGCTGTACCGCGCCGCTTTGTGACGTGCCAAGGATGCACCACGGAACATGCAAGAGGAAGTGCCAGGGGACGCGCTAGGGGACATGCGGTTTTGAACTGCGCCGTCGCTATTGCATTGTGGGTCAAGCCGCCCTTGGCCACAGAAAATGTCTAAGGGCGTCCTTCCGAAGGATCATTGAGAAGACGTGACGCCTGCTGCTGGGCTGGGCACCTGGGATGGTTGCCCAAGTGCCCAGTCCATGGCGCCCAGTAGCGCCGACCGCCCGCGCGTAGCCCCCATGGCGCCGCGCGGCGCCGAGTGCGACCGTAGGGCCCACAGCGCCTGAGCGCCATGTAGCGCCACGTTGTGCCGCGCAAGGGTGGCGTCGCGCGGCGCTCGAGGTGCCTACAGCGCCCGTAGCCCGCGCAGCACCCGCGGCGCCGCGTAGCGCCCGTATCGACCATAGCGCTGCGTCGCGCCCGCAGCGCCCGTAGCGCCTGCAGCGCCCGCCCGCAGTGCCCGTGACGCAGCATAGCACCTCGTAGCCACGCGGCGTCCGAAGCGCTTCGTAGCGCCCACAGCGCCGCGCAGCGCCCGTAGCGCCGAATAGCCCTCCTTGCGCCGCGCGCCCACAGCGCGGCGCCGCGCGGCGCCCGTAGCGTCGCGCAGCGTAGCGGCGCGTAACGCCCGTAACGCCGCGCGGCGCCCGTAGCGCCGCGTGGCGCCGCATAGCCCCTGTGGCGCGCGCCCGCCACGCCGCGCAGCGCCCGCGGCGCCGCGTAGCGCCCGTAGCGTAGCGCCCGTGGCGCCGCGCAGCGCCCGTAGCGTCTGGAACGCCCGTGGCACCGCGTGGCGCCTGTACCGCACGTGGCGCCCGCAGCGCCGCGTCGCGCAGCGCCAGGTAGCACTGCGGCGCCCGTAGCGCGCGCATCGACGCGTAGCGCCAGCAGCGCGGCTTTGCGTGGCGCCCGCCATGCGAATAGCGCCCGCAGCGCCGCGTAGCGCCGGCAGCGCCACGTGGCACCGCGTGGCGCCCGTAGCGCCGAGTAGCGCCCGGTGCGTTGCAGCGCCCGTCGCACGGCGCACGCGCAGCATCTTTAGCGCCGCGCAGCGCCCGTGGCGCCGCGTAGCGCCAGCAGCGCCGCGTAGCGCCTGTAGCACCGCGGAGCGCCCGCAGCGCCTCGTAGCGCCTGCAGCGCTACAAAGCGTCCGCAGCGCCACGCGGCGCCGCGCGGCGCGTGCAGCGCCGCGCAGCGCCGGGCGACGCCCGCAGCGCCACCTAGAGCGCCACCTAGAGCGCCAAGGAAGGCATCCAAACTGCATATTCTTGCAATTCTGGGCGCGTGTGCTCCATAATGTGCGAAATCGCGTTCTGATTGTAACTCTGGGGGCGCCAACCCCAGCATGCGCGAAATCGCGCTCCGATTGAGGTTCTGGGCGCACCTGCGCGGAAACGCGTTGGGATTGCCATTCTGTGCACGCTAAGGACACGCTGCCCAGAAAGAGCGCCAAAGGGCACCAGCATGCGCCATCCTGGGCGCGCTTGCGCCCGACCGGGGAGAATTCCGCTCGCGCCCGCGCCAGAATGCACCAGACCACCCGCAACCGTGCGCAGGTGCAATGGCGGGCGCGGCCCAGCCCGAAAGTGCTGCATGGCGCTGCGAACGAGATAGTTATTGGGCGCGCTTGCGCCCTAATGCGCCGAAAAGCGCGGCACTGCGCACAAGCTGCAAATCCATGCACTCTTGCGCTGGAATGTGAAAAACCGCGCCCGAATGGACACAGTGAACGCACCTGCGCCCGATCAATGGGCATCGCGCCCGAACGGTTTGCCCAGGGGCAATGACCGCATTGCAACAGTTGGCTGCGAAAAGGGATCTTCGGCATTGCCCGTGTCAGGTTGCCTCCCCCGGTCTGCGACCAGGAGTCCTTGGCACTGCCCATGTCAGGTCGCCTCGCCCTCGGCAAAAACGGGAATCATCGGCATGGCCCACGTCGTGTTGCCTCCCCCGCACCTCCCCACCGAACCGTGCGACGAGGAACGCCGGCGATACTGCGACGAGGAGCGGCGGCAGCACCGAGAGCGGCGGCGAGGGGCGCCAGCGGGAAGCGAGCAGAAGCCAACGGCGACCGCCACCGCGCCCCTGCCCAGCGACGGGCGCCGAGGCCCTTGAGCGGCAGCCGACGCTGAAGGCGAGGTGCTGTCTTTTTTTGTTTTTTTGTTTCTTTTGCAGCGCTATTTTGGAGAGGAGGGAGGAAGAGGCGAAAGGGAGACAACGCACACACCTGATCATTGTCCGACTCGTGCCGGGGAGTCGGCAGGCAACCCTGCCGCAGGACCGCCATCGCCTTCTTTCCTCCCGAGTGAGACCAGCAGGAGACCAGATGGCGGCTGAGACGCATTACCCTCGACACAGTGCGTGCAACTTCGTCCCGAAGGCGAGGTTCTATTCGGGGGAAGGTATGTGCGGGCTCCCCAGCCCAGCGCACGGGTCGACGGCCGGCCCCGCGCCGCCGCCGGGCCGGCGGGAGGCCAGGCGCCGCCGGCCTGGCCCGACGGGCCTTCTCCACGGGCCCGTCCGGCAGAGGCGCCGGCCCAGCGCCAGGGTGCGAAGGCACCTCGCGGGTGGGCGAGGGTGGGTCTCACGCCCGTCGCCCGGGCGCTGCCACGGGCCGCTCGCGCTCGAGCGCCCCGCCTCGCAGAGCAGCCCCCCCTCGGAGCTGCTTGCGGCGCTGCCACGGGCCACTCGCGCCAGGGGGCGAACCCTCCCTCGGGCGCAGCCTCGCGGGGCTGGGGGGAGACAAGGGAGAACGACGAGGAGCGGCAGCGACTTGGCGACGAGGAGCGGCGGCGACTTGGCGGCGAGGAGCGCCGGCAGAAGGGCCCGCGGGCATGCGGCGAGAAGCCCGCGGCGCCGCGACCCAGCAGCGCCAAGCCAACCAACCAAGCGGGGGGGGAGGCAGAGGGCAGGGGACCGCCAGCTGCGAAGCAGCCCTCGGCTTGTGAGGACACACGCGTCTGCTGCAGAGCAAACCAGCCGCCCGCCGAGGCGAAGCGCAGGGCCGGCAGAGGCCAGGAAGCAATGAGGCTCAGAGGCAAGGAGGCGCACGCGAGCGCGCCCTGAAGATTTTCCTGCCCCTCGAATCGCTGCTCATCCCAACGCATGGGTGGACGCTCCCGCGCCGCCGCTGGGCCAGCGGGAGACCAGGCGCCAGACTGGCCCGACTGGCCCGACTGGACTTCTCCACGGGCCCAACGCTTCCAGGAGCGGTCGGGCTGGCGGCGCTAAGCCGCGCGAGCGGCGCACGCGAGTCAAGTCTTGCAAGCAGCCCCAAGAGGAGGAGGAGGAGGAGGAGGAGGAGGAGGGAGGAGGAGGAGGAGGAGGAGGAGGAGAGGAGGAGGAGGGAGGAGGAGGAGGAAGGAGGATTTTTTTTTTTATGGTCGACCCATGAACAGCCACATGACTCCGCTGGCGTGGCGAGTGCCAGCGAGAAGCACCAAAAACGGCGCAGGCCGCGCCACCGTCGGGGCCATGCCCCCGTGGCGCGACCTAAGCGCGACCAGGGAGCGCTGGGAGACCGTGCTCCGCGCTCCCTGGTCGGGGTAGGGGGCGCGAGCCGTGCTCAGCGCCAACCCTACCCACCACCCACTCCATGGGTGGCCGCGTTTTACGGCCCCGGGACCACGACACGACGCGACACGACAGGGGGACGAAACGAACGACGCGACACGAACGACACGAGACGGACGAGCGACACGACGGAGACGAGCCGCCAGCCCCGCCCCAGGGCGGCGAGTGCTGGGGGGGACCCAGCACCGCCCTGGGGAAGCACACGGGGCCTGGCGACCCCCCCGGGGGAAGGAAACCGCACTTTGGCGGCGTCCCCCGGGGTGCGGGGGATTTTCGCCCCTCGGGCCCGGCGCTCCCCGCCTGCGCCAGGAGGACCCTGGGGTCCCGACCCCTCCCCTACGGGAGGGGCCCCCTCGGGGCAGGAGGAGGAGGAGGAGGAGGAGGAGGAGGAGGAGGAGGATATGTGCGTATGGGGGCCGAGCGAGGATGACATGCCAGCTAAGAAGCGCACGAGGAGGAGGAGGAGGAGGAGGAGGAGGAGGAGGGAGGAGGAGGAAGCGGAGAAGGGTCACGGAGGAAAAGGAGGGAATGAAGATAATGAGGGGGCGAACCGGATGACGAGGCAGCGAGGAGGAGGGACCGAGAGAGCAGGGGGGAGGAGGACGAGGAGGAGGAGGAGGAGGAGAAGAAGACAGAAGAGGAGGAGGAGGAGGAGGAAGAGGAGGAAGAGGAGGAGGGGGAGGAAGCGGAGAAAGGACACGGAGGACAAGTAGGGAACGAAGAGAATGAGGGGGCGAACCGGGTGACGAGGCAGCGAAGAGGAAGGACCGAGAGAGCGGGGGGGAGGAGGACGAGGAGGAGAAGGAGGAGAAGGAGGAGGAGGAGGAGGAAGAGGAAGAGTTCCCAAACCCATCAAGACCGTTTGGAACAGATGTTGATGGCTCGGGCTAGGATGTTCGAGACGTTGCTTGACCCCCTGTATTCGTTTCGCCTTGCGGCAACCATGCTGCCGCCTGACTCCCATAGGGAACCAATGAAGAACAGTGCTTGAACCCCCCGACCGCTCCACCTGCTGCGCATACTTTCTGGGGAGGCGCGAGCGCCGTTCCCCAGAAGGCTCACAACTGGCAAGGGAGGGTTCTATGGTCCACGAGGGGGAAAAACGCGCGGGCGGAAAATCACTTCTGACAAAGGAGCTAAGACGGGCAGGCAGCAGGCTGAAATACCTTACTGTGGGTCCAGCGCGGGAGCGCGGCCGCGGGCAAGGATCTCATTCTCCGTTTCTTGCCCTTACCGCTTCCATGCCGACGACTGAGATTGCCCCTTGGGGCCATATTCATTTTGATGTCTCGGCTTATCCCACGAACAGTTTCGCACATGAGCTGCTCCGTTGGACTCCAAAGACCCTGGATCTGCAACCCATGTATCGGGACTTCGAGCGGGCTGATCATCGCGTGGGGTTTGCTGCCGTCGTACACATCCAGGTCCTTGAACAGAGTGTCTGCGACCTGGGGCACGCGAGAAAGAAGTGTATTGTGTTTGAGCACGCGCGTAATGCGAATATTGGGTTCTGCGCTTGGGTGGCCGAGCGTAAGTCGAGCCGCTCGCTCTTTCGCCAACGGAAGCCATCATCACGGGCCCGCTCTTTTTCATCATCAATGGCAGCCGTTCGCAGCCGTGCAAAATTATGTGTATCCCTGGCGACGTATCCTTGAAGTCGTAGACTTCGTAGAGGTCAGAAAAGCGAAACGGGCTTGGCACGCGATTCCTGTCAATAATTTGTCCTTGCCTCTTTCACTACCTTCGAATGATCCTGGGCAAAATTCTCGGTGGCTTCGCCAGCCACTGATTTCCCGCTAATGGCCGCTGTGATGAAGACGTGAACCTCGAGCTGGATTAAAGGGAGTCGTTGTTGTACGAATCCTTCTGGTCGCTCTCCGACTCCCCCATCTCCTCGTCCTCTTTCTGATTGGGCTTGAGCTGTTTCGTGGGCTTGCCTGGCGCGCACGAGAAACTCTTGCCTCGTGGTCGCACCAGTCCGCCTGAGGACGCGGCGTCCGCCATGTACACGCACGAAAAAAAAGGGTGTGAGGTATTCCGAAAGATGATAAAACAATGCTCAACCAACTCGGCTGCCGTCTCGAAATCTTCCAGGCAAGCGTGACACCCAATATGTCTGTATTCGGAGATTGCTTGCTCGACTGCTCGCTCGAATCGACCTCTTCCGAACGGACAGAACTGACGTGCGAGGTTTAGTTTAGCATGCTGTTTGGCGGCGATTGGCCCTCGAAGTGCACTGCCACATACTACGCATTCATTAAAACGCGTGCGTATCCGTGCAACACGAAAGCGCCCATGAGTGCCCTCATCTTGTGAGACATATCGTGCCATCTGCGAGGAACTCCATGCAAGTAAACATACAACCCTCGCCCTCGATATCCGTCTGGTTTGCCGCTCGTGTGGCGGCCGAAGGAGAAAGACAGTCTTCAGCTCCCCGATGTCGAGGCGCTGGAACTGCTCACTTTGCCCAACATCAAGATTAGCCTGGCGAAAGACCCAACCATATGCAATTGTGAATGCCGCAATTGTGAATACCATCTTCGCCTGCGCTCCCTATGTGGCCACGGCTTCCCGCCGGAGCCCGACATGCTCAGGGACACGTTCGTGGCCGTCTTCGCGGGCGCCGACGACGACGAGGACGGCGCCCCTCTGACCGAGGAGCAGAAGCAGGAGAGGGCTCTAAGAGCCACAGGACAGGAGGTGGCGTTGTACGTCGACCAGGCGGAGTACGACGCCCAGGCGCGGTTATTGAAGCAGCACAACTATGGTGCCACGATCGTCGTGAGGGGTGTGTGCTGAAATGGCCCGAGGCCGCCATCCGAACCCTGCCACTGGCGCCTTCGGTGGAGCTCCCTATCGGGCCACGATCCTCGTGAGGGGTGTGCCGAAATTGCCCTAGGCCGCCATGCGAACCCTGCCACTGGCGCCTTCGGTGGAGCTCCCTACGGGGCCACGATCCTCGTGAGGGGTGTGCACAAATGGCCCTAGGCCGCCAACCCTGCCACTGGCGCCTTCGGTGGGGCTCCCTATCGGGCCACGATCCTCGTGAGGGGTGTGCCGAAATTGCCCGAGGCCGCCATCCGAACCCTGCCACTGAGGCCTCCGGTGGAGCTCCCTATGGGGCCACGATCCTCGTGAGGGGTGTGCACAAATGGCCCTAGGCCGCCATGCAAACCCTGCCACTGGCGCCTTCGGTGGAGCTCCCTATCGGGCCACGATCCTCGTAAGGGGTGCCCGAGGCCGCCATGCAAACCCTGCCAAGGAGGCCTTCGGTGGAGCTCCCTATTGGGCCACGATCCTTGTGATGGGTGTGCCGAAATGGCCCGAGGCCGCCATGCTAACCCTGCCACTGGCGCCTTCGGTGGAGCTCCCCATGGGGTCACCCAGCGCTGTGCTGGGTGTGCCGAAACAGAGACATGCGGAGGGCACAGGAGGGTGAGGAGGAGGAGGGAGATGAACGCGGACCGCTGTCTCTTCGAAACGAGGACCCAACACCACAGGATGGTTGGGAAAGGCACGATCGAGACGCTGCTCTGCATCGAAGAAGAAATGTCCTCGCCAGACTCAGCGCACGCTAGCGAATCGATGTCTGGTTGCAACTGAAGCGCCCAGGTGTGACCTGTGTGGGGTACTCTACCTACGGCGAGAACGTCTTCGCCGACCGCCCTGACACTCCTTGGACTCCGATCGCTTCCCTGCCCGTGGAACTCCTTGGACTTCCGAGAGCTCCTGACACCACCTGAGCCTGCGCATCCTGAGTTCCAAGAATAGGGGCCCAATCCCGAACCTCCTGAGGACGTCGTGGTTTGAAAGCGTGCTTGTGCGAGGGATGGGGGGGTGAACGAGGGGGACACAGAAGGAGGGGTAAGGGGGGGGGCGAGGATGATGATGAGGAGGACCGAGGATCCAGGATTGAGGGGCGGAGCTGCTGCTGTCCGTCCTCGTTATCCTTATCCTCTTCCTCCTCATCCTTCTGCTGATCCGCCACCTCCTCCTCTTCCGATATAAGCAACTCATTGTTTCCGATTGCCGAGGGTCCAGGATTGAGGAGGAGAAGGCGGACGAGGATGATGAGGCGGAGGAGGAGGAACCATATCAAGGCTCGAGGACTGACGCTCAAGGGGCTTGGTTGTTGCTCGCAAAATTCGGGGTTTCTGGGGTGGCTTCTCGTCGTCGCGGGGAGGGGGGAGATGAGCAGGTGAAGGGGGGGGAGATGAGCAGGTGAAGGACACGGTCCGCCTGCCTGGGTTCAGACTCCAGGCTGCCGTGTTGGCCTCGCGAGCGTTCTGGCAGGGCGCGAGGTCCAGGCAGAGAACAGCGCGGCAGCCACCGACACGACGGCGGCAACGAATGGCGGCGGCGAGGACGGCAGACGAACGAGAGCAACAAAGAAAGACGACCCTTCAGCCTGCCTGGAGAGTGAATGATAAACACGGATTTTGCACATTTTTCGACGCCAGATGGCGGAAGTGGTGGCCGCGCCACCCTTGGGACGGAGCCTGTCAACAGTGATGATATGGCACCGTGGGCATGAGGTGGTTTCCCTGGGGACCGCCTCCAAGGGAGCCGGACGAGCGGAAAGGAACAGGTGTCGGAGAAATACGGTGGGAGACTGGAAGGATTGGGAACGGGGGGGGGAGGCAGAGGAAAGCAAGGAAGCCTCAGCTCCACCACCTCGGCAGCTCCCACGGGCCAGCCAACCAACTTGCCGAGGTCGAGTATTCGATTGTGCCCAAAGAGCATGAGCGTCTTGGTGAGCAAGTCCTGTCGCAACAGGCATAGAAACACACACACACAAATCACACAAACCACACACAAACCACACACAAACACAAAAACCACACAAGAACCAAACACAAACCACACACACACACCAGACAAACCACCCCAACACCACACACCACACAAACCGTCCAAACCACACAAACACAAACCGCACAAACCACACAAATCACACAAACCACACAAACCACACAAACCACACAAACCACACAAACCACACAAACCGCACAAACAACACAAACCACATAAACCACACAAGCCACACAAACGACACCAACGACACAAACGACACAATCCACACACACCACACAAACCACACAAACGACACAAACGACAGAAACAAACCACACTCAAACGGCACAAACGACACAAACGACACAAACATCACAAACCACACAAACCACACAAACCACACACACCACACACACCACACACGCCACACGCGCCACACATGCCACACACACCGCACACACCAAACACACCGCCCACACCACATACAAACCACATACAAACCACATACAAACCACACACACCACACACACCACACAAACGGCACAAACCAGACACAAAGCACCCAAACCGCACAAGCCAGACACACACACACACACACACAAAAACCACACAAACCACACAAACCACACGAAGAACCCGAACCACACAAGCCGCGCAAACCATACACGCCACACACACCACACACACCACACACGCCACACAAATCACACAACCACACACAAACACGCACACACACGCACACGCACAAGCACAAGCGCACACACACACACACACGCACACAAACAACACACAAACACACACACACAAGCACACACACATGCACACATACGCGCACACACACACACGCAAACGCGCGCGCACACGCGCACGCACACGCACGCGCACACGCACGGGCACGCGTACACACACTCGCGCGCGCACACAGAGACACACACACACACACACGCACACACACGCGCAAACACACACACACACGCAAACGCACGCGCTAGCACACGCGCTTACGCACGCGCGCACGCAGACGCACAGACACACACGCACACACGCACGCACACACACACACACACGTACACGCACGCACGCACGCACGCACGCACGCACGCACGCACTGCACACACACACACACACACACACACACACACACGCACGCGCACGCGCACGCGCACGCCACACGCACGCGCACACGCACGCGCACACGCACGCGCGCGCGCACGCGCAGGCAAACACGCGCACGCGCACGCGCACGCGCACACGCACACGCACGCACACGCACAAACAACGCACGCGCACACGCACGCGCACACGCACACACGCACACGCACACGCACACGCACATGCACACGCAAACGCACACGCGCACGCACACGCACACATACGCACACGCACACGCACACGCACACGAACACGCACACGCACACGGACACATACACACACGCACACCCACACCCACACACGCACTCGCACACGCACACGCACACGCTCGCGCACACGCAGACGCACACACGAACACGCACACGCACACACGCATACGCACACACACACCACACACACACACCACACACAGACACAGACACCCACACACCACACACATACATACACACCACAATACCAACTAAGCAACATATGTAAACTGGCCGGATGATCAACGGAACGCGAAAAGAGCACCTCAAGACGCATCAAAGAAGTCGGGCGGAAACCATCAAATGCTTCTTGATGTCTTGTGGTCACTCCTGGGGCCTCCCTGACCGCAGAGAAGAGGCGACGACGATGCAGGTGGTGTGGGGTGATGGGATTTTGAACGGAGGGGCAAGGGGGCTGGCGCAGGACTCGGAGACGCGGGTAAACGGGAGAGGACCAGGGCGACTACATCACGATTCACATTGACGACGACGACGCTAACAGACGATCGGCCCTCCACCACTGCTTCCTCCCCTCCCCTCCCACCCTTCTGCTCCTCCGCTTCCTCTCTGCTTGGCCTTGAGCAGAGAGGATGCAGGAGGAGGAAAAGGAGGAGGAGGAAGAGGAGAAGGAGCGAGGAGCAAGGAGGAGGAGGAGCAGGAGGAGGAGGAGGAGAAGGATGATGATGATGATGAGGAGGAGGAGCGAGGAGCAAGGAGGAAGAGGAAAAGGAGGAGGTTCATAAGGAGGAGGAGGAGAAGAAGTGAGGAGTAAGCAGGAGGAGGAGGAGGAGGACGAGGGAGGAAAGAAATGACGGTGAGCAGGAGGGCGGAGGCAGAAAGGGGGGGAGGAGCATGGACTGAGGGAGTGAGCTGGGCTTGAAGTGGACCGGATGGAGAAAGGGGCCTTCTCGTCGTCTGAGACGAAGCCACGGCCGCGGCCGCGGCCGCTACTCCTCCTCCTCCTCCTTCTCTCCTCATCCTCATTATTCGTATTCTCATCCTCGTGCTCTTCCTCTTCCTTCTCTTCCTCCTGAAGCGGGGATGAAAGGGGTAGGACTGTGTAGGATTTAGGAGAATTAGAAAAAAAGGGGGGAGGAGTGGGGGAAGAAGAATGATTATGACGAGCAGCACTGCAAGAAGGAGGGGTTGGAGGATACGAAAGGAATGAGAAGGAGGGGTGGGAGACGGAACACTCATTGGTACTCCTAGAGCCTCCTGGTCTCCTCCTCCTGGGCCCTCCCGGGACTCTCCTGAGCAGCGGGAGAAACGACGGCGACGACGACGCCGATGACGTCGGCGGCGCCAGCGGCGGCGACGGCCAAGATGGCGACGACGACGGCGACGACTTCGACAAGGACCACCACGACGATGGCGAAAACGCCGACGACGACAACAGCGAAAACGAAGACCGCGACGATGACGGCGAAAACGGCGAACGAGACAATGGCGACCACGGCAACGAAAACCGCGACGACGACAACGAAGTGCACGACCCCACGACGACGAAGAAGCTGACCCGACAACGACGACCAAAACGACCCCGCGACAACGACGACGACGAAGACGACCCCGCGACGACAACGACAAAGAGGACGACCACGACGTCGGCGAAGGCGGCTGCGGCGACGACTTCCACAAGGACCACTACGACGGCTGCGAAAATGCCGACGACGACGACGACCACGGCGAAAACGACGATAGAGACGATGACGGCGAAAACGATGACCGCGACGACAACGACGACGAAGAGGACGACCACGATGCCGACAACGAAGAATACACGACCCCACGACGACGAAGAAGACGACCCCACGATGACGAAGACGACCGCGACGACGACGACGACGATGACGACCCTGCGACGACGACAGAGAGGGCGACCGCGACGGCGGCGAAGGCGGCGGCGGCGGCAATGACGCAACGGCGGCGGCCGCGGCGTTCTCAAAATCGAGCGCGTCCTCTCGGGGGATGCTGAATGTGCCCCTGGCCCATGGTACCCCCAGCTTCCCGCCCCAGTTTGGAGCCCCCTGGGGCCCCCTGGGCCTCGTGGGGGTGCTCTGGAGGCCGTGGGGGCCTCCATGGAAATCCTCGGGGCACCTTGGGCCAGGGGCTCCCTCCAGCAACACCCGGCAGCTATAGAACGCAGCTGTGCAAGGTTGTGCGAGCTCCAGGGGCCAATGTCGGCGACTCCAAAGGGTGTGGTTTGCAAAGGGTGCGGTTTGCAACCGGCACCCTGGGGAACATCCTGGGGGGCACCCTGAGGGGCGCGCGGGGACCTCGATAGAGTCCCCCCGCGCCCCGAGGAGGCCCGACGAGGACAGTGTCGTGCCCCCCAGGCCCCGACGGTACCGATCGCAAACCACACCCCGGCGTAACCATACCCTTTGAGCCTGTTTTTCTTTAGACTCTGGCAAGTTTACTTGCATGGACGGGGGGGGGGGCTGAGCCTGAAGCAAGCCGCAGACGACTTGCACGTTCGGAAATCACGCAAGTCGAAAGGCACTTGCACGCTAGTATTCGCTTGAAGAGGGGCGAGGGGGGGGGGGGGGCGAACGCCATGCAAGTAAACTTGCCTGAATCCAAAACAAAAACAGGCCCTTTGTAGTCGCCGACAAGGGCCGGGGCAGGGCGAGGGCTGCCACCGGGGCCACAGCCAATTGCCCGGCGACCACGGCGGCGGCGTCCTCCGCAAAATCGACGGCATCCTCCGGCACCGGCGCGTCCAGGTCGCCGGGCCGGCCGCCCGCCGCTGCCTGGGGGCGGGCGGTGCAGGGGCCAGGCTCGCGGCGACGAGGAGGAGGAGGAGGAGGAGGAGGAGGAGCTGAGGAGCTGAGGAGAAGAGGAGGAGGAGGAGGTGGAGGAGGAGGAGCGAGGAGGAGGAGGAGGAGGAGGAGGAGAAGAGGAGGAGGAGGAGGAGGAGAAGGAGGTGGAGGAGGAGCGAGGAGGAAAAGGAGGAGGACGAGAAGGAGGAGGAGGAGGAGGAGGAGGAGGGATGAAGATGGGGAAGGACGGTGATGATAGTCAGGGAGCGGAGGAGAAATAATAATTAGGAGGAGGAGGGGGAGGATGGGATGATGACGGTGATGATGATTTGGATGATAAGGATGAGTATGATGATCATGCTGATGATGCCGCTGCTGATGATTGTGATGGTGATGGTGGTGGTGGTGGTGGTGGTCATGATAATGAAGATGACGATGATGATGATGATTCTGATGATAATGATGTTGACGGTGATGATGATGATGATGACGGTGGCGGTGATACTTATGATGATGATGATGTGGATGCAATTGCTGTTGATACTGATGTGGCTAGTGATGATGACGACGATGATAACGACGATGACGAGACTGAGAATGATGCCGATTATGACTGCAATGGTGATTGGGATGTTGCTGATGATGCTGATGACGATGATGATGATGCTGATCATATTGATGGTGAGGGTGATGATGCTGATGGCGATGATGCTGCTGATGGTGGTGCTGATGATGGTGTTGATGATGGTGATGATGATGCTGTTGCTGATGATGATAATGTTGATGCTGCTGCTGCAGATGATGATGAGGATGATGATGATGATGCTGCTGATGATGATGATGATGATGATGATGATGAGGTTCATCATGCTGAAGCTGCTTCTGTTGCTGCTGCTGGCGATGGTGGTGAGTTGCAGGACAAGGCGGAGCACGAGGACGGAGAGACTGGGATCACGGAGGAAGGGCCAAGAGACAATGCGGGGGACTCGGCTAGACGATAGAACAGAGAACGAGGACGATGGGGCGGAGGAGGAGATGGGCGGCAAAGCAGCAAGGGAGGAGGCCGCCAGGGCAGGAGGAGAGCGGGAGGAGTAGGAGGAGGGGGCAGACACATGCTACTGTGGGAGAGGTGCAGGGGCGAGGAGGCGGAGGAGGCGGAGGAGGCGGAGGAGCGTCGAGATGGTGCGGTCGATCCCTGTCGGCCCACGGCGCGCGCTCCCCGCACGGCGCCCAACGGGCCACTGGAGGAACGAGGGAGGATTAGTGAGGAGAGGGGCTCCAGAGCAGCAGTGGGAAAACACATGTGACCGCGGCCACCACAACGCCCTGGAACACGGCCTCCACGTCCAAAGCCTCACCCCACCTGCGGAATCTCCTCCATGCGTGGCTGCACCTCGAAGAGCGTAGGCATCGCGGGGCAGTCGCGCTCGATCGGCCAGCCAGCTCGAATCGCCCAGCAAAGTGCAGGGAGGCTCGGGACAAGGAGGATACAGGAGAGGATGGTCATGATGAGGAAGCGAGGAAAGATGAGGGCCCCAGCGAAATGGGAAGAGGGAGGAGAAGAGGGGGAGGTGGAGGAGGAGGGGAAATGAGAGTGGCAGGAGGCTACGACGGGTGCAACGGGAGGGCGTTTGCTCCTCCACCTCCTCCTCATCATCGTCCCCGCCTCTTCTTCTCTCTCTCTCTCTTGCTCTATTCCTTCCTCCGCCTTCTCTTCCTCTTGCCGTTCCCCTTCGTCGTTGGAGGACCCTGGGGTTTATCGGAAGCCCTAGAAGTGGCCAAGCCATCCAACACATCGGCCTGGCCAGAGGTCCAACCCCATGCGGCTGCGTGTAAAGCAAGGCATGTCCCTCCCCTCGTACCTGCCAACCCACCCGTCATATGTAACGACGCTCTTTCCTGGGGGTACAGCCTCCGGTGTTTCGTTCGCCCCGCGTCGGATGCGCGATCCAGTCACTCTTATGTTTGTCAGCGGGGGCCCCACACAGTGCGTTCTACCTGGTGAGGTACATTCGGTGTGAGTTATGCTGAAGGCGCGTTGCAGTGCACGATGCGGGGTGCAACCGCATGCGGCTGCGGCCCCAAGCAGGTGAGTTAAAGGTGCAATCTATTTGGTGCAATCTATTGGGGTGCAGCCTATATGGTCAATTTCTGGGGTGCGCCCTACGCGCTGAAAGATAAAGAGTGCAATCTGTGTGGTTATTTCTGTTCGCACTGAGTTGTCCACTCCACTGCTCGGGCAAACATCCCACCCACCCACCCTCAACTTGGTTTGCAAAACCCATGCGGCGGCGATTGCGATGAGTGCTTGGTGTTGGCTGGTACATCTCTGCGGCCGCGCTAGCCCGCGCATGCTCGCGCGCGCAGCGGCCAGCTAGTGTGACGCGACCGACGCGGACGCGGTGGCGTTGACGGCTCGGCACGTCCCAGCGGGCACTTCAGTGCGAGTCGGCGACTCGGGCGGGCGTGGTATCATGGCCACGTCGACAACGGTAGACACGAAGATGATAGTAGCGATGCTGGTGACGATGCTGGCAGCGACGACGGGGCAGCCAATGGCGGCGCCGATGCTGATCACGCCGGCGACGATGACGGCGTCGTCGCGTCGGTGATGAAGGTTTTGGAAGGAGTTCGAAATGCGCGCGCGGCAGACGCGGGAGAGTGGCCCCAATGATGTTATTTAACACGGATCGTGCCCCCCAGACGCGCGCAAGGTTTTTGTTGAAATTCAGTGTTGCGAAACCCTGTGTGTTTTGTGGTTTTGTGTGTGTGCGTGTGCTTTTGGACACTCGATTTTGAAATCCTTCCGAAGCCTAAGGTCTTTGAAGGATTTCGGCATGCGCGCGCGACGACGCGCGCGTGCGCACTTCGTCCCACTTGTTGCAAGGGACTATTGACAACTTATGATGTTTGATAAATGAATGCGCGCATCGTATTTTTCGAAAGGGGAACGAGGGGGAACCGATACCGGCCTGGCTGGGATAGTAGTATGAATTCGCAGTTCAAATTGCAATACGAAAAAGGAAGTTTTTAACGCCAGGGGGCAGAGGGTGGTAGAATCAAGTTTTTTGTTGAAAAAAGAAAGGAAAATCTACGGGATGCAAGTCAACCGCCGCGCAGCATCCACGACTGACCGCGTCTCGTGCTCGTTCGAACATCCTACCCGCCCACCCGCAACTTCTCGGCACAACTCATATGGAAATGATCTGAATGAGCTCATGGACGCGCGGAACTCACCATCGCAGCCGAGTGCATCGTCCAGGGCTCGGAATGCTGGTGGCGACGACAGGCACGGCAACAACGACGATGGCCATCATAGTGGTGATCACGCTGATGCCGATGGCGATGCCAGTTGAAATTTGGGCGACACGATGTCTAAGATGATGATGGTGGTGGTGATCATGTTGATGGTGATGGGGATGACTCTGGCATCCCTGACGCTATCAATGTTGATGGTGTTTGTTCTGGTTCTGGCGGTGGAAAAAAACCCGCGCGCAGAAATTTGATGAAGGCTGGTGGCGATGATCTCGACGATAGTGATGATGATGCCGATGGCAATGCTGATGCTAACGGTGATGATGACGACTGTCCTGATGAGGAAAGATGAGGAAGTACTCGCCCGCTGAAATCCAGACACCGTGACATGTTCGCAATTGGAAATCATTCGGGTTTCATGTGCTTTGAGAGACTCGGCCGTGCAATCGTGAGGACACCACCTGTCTTGTACGGGTTTCGACACACGCGCGCAGACGAGCAAGCGTGTGTCAGCCTTTCTTAATTGCCAAAACTGATGGGCACGCCATGACGGTTGAGCGTTTCCGACATACGAGCACACGTGGCCCGCGTGTTCGGATTTGTCAGAACGGCTGAACGCCGACGGCTGCCAAGCAGCTTTCAGCGAGAGCGCGCGCGCAGAGATCTGGTAACAGCTTCGTTGGAGAGCCAGTGGGCTCTGACGGTTGTTGGCTAGCCGCGCTCTGTCGATGGATCTCGACGTGCGCTCGCGGCGGCGCGCGCAGGTGTCCCGTCGCGCGCCTGTTGCGTGCGAGCCCGTGCGGCCACACGTGTCTCTTAGATCAGCACCAACGAACCGCAGCGTATCTTTTGCAGGGTGCAGTCGGCCTTGGTTGGACAGGACACGCGAGAGGACACAAGACCCTTCCGAGGGCCACATCGCCATAGGGGTGTAAGAAGGGACGCCTCGCGAGGCACAGGACACAAGGGTACCCTTGATCTGGCAGGGTCGACCCAATAATTCGGGCCGACTGTGTGGCGGGGGTGTCGACGCCGGGCAGGCTGGTCTGATATTGTTTGGTACTTGCGTGAACGATCGCGCAAAAGAAACAGGGGAAACATGCACGGAAGGGGATGGCCCCAGCCTCAACGGGGGGTCGAGCCCAGTTCTGTTGACCAGGGAGAACCAATCACTTGCAAATCGTGTCTACGGGAGGCAAGCTAGGTAGTGCACTGGACATGGTGCAGTTCATGTCATGCAAATCGACGCGCGTCCCCTGAAGCGCGAGTCAGCGTGAGAAGCGGGCGCAAGGCCATTCCAATTCGTTCAACGGTTACAATTCTCCAGCTCTTTTATAAGTTCCTCTGCCCATATCACTGCCCGAACTGGCTTAGTTGTTCTGGCGGCTGAAAATACCACAACTCTTCTAATAGGCGGACTCCTCCAGACGACACTTCGAATAGTTATTCCATCATCACGAACGGTCATTCATTGTCCCTGGGCGCGTGGCTGAAAGAGCTCCTGCGGTGCGGATTGTTGTTGCTGTGGTTGTTGTTCCCAACCATCCTGTGGTGTTGGGTCCTCGTTTTGAAGAGACGTCGCCCCGCGTTCCTCTTTCCTCCTCCTTCCTCCTCCTCCCCTTCCTCCCCCCTCCTCCCCCTCCCACACCCATTCTGGCACACCCCTCACACGTTTCGTGGCCCCATAGGGGGCTCCACCGAAGGCCCCAGAGGCTGCGCCCGCATGCGGCGCATGCGGTTCCACCCCCCATTCTGGCACACCCCTCACACGTTTCGTGGCCCCAGAGGGAGCTCCACCGAAGGCCCCAGTGGCTGCGCCCGCATGCGGTTCCACCCCCCATTCTGGCACACCCCTCACACGTTTCATGGCCCCATAGGGAGCTCCACCGAAGGCCCCGGTGGCTGCGCCCGCATGCGGTTCCACCCCCCATTCTGGCACACCCCTCACACGTTTCGTGGCCCCATAGGGAGCTCCACCGAAGGCCCCAGTGGCTGCGCCCGCATGCGGTTCCACCCCCCATTCTGGCACACCCCTCACACGTTTCGTGGCCCCATAGGGAGCTCCACCGAAGGCCCCAGTGGCTGCGCCCGCATGCGGTTCCACCCCCCATTCTGGCACACCCCTCACACGTTTCGTGGCCCCATAGGGAGCTCCACCGAAGGCCCCATGGCTGCGCCCGCATGCGGTTCCAACCCCATCTGGCACACCCCTCACCCCATAGGGAGCTCCAACGAAGGCCCCAGTGGCTGCGCCCGCATGCGGTTCCACCCCCCATTCTGGCACACCCCTCACACGTTTCGTGGCCCCATAGGGAGCTCCACCGAAGGCCCCAGTGGCTGCGCCCGCATGCGGTTCCACCCCCCATTCTGGCACACCCCTCACACGTTTCGTGGCCCCATAGGGAGCTCCACCGAAGGCCCCAGTGGCTGCGCCCGCATGCGGTTCCACCCCCCATTCTGGCACACCCCTCACACGCTTCGTGGCCCCATAGGGAGCTCCACCGAAGGCCCCAGTGGCTGCGCCCGCATGCGGTTCCACCCCCCATTCTGGCACACCCCTCACACGTTTCGTGGCCCCATAGGGAGCTCCACCGAAGGCCCCAGTGGCTGCGCCCGCATGCGGTTCCACCCCCCATTCTGGCACAACCCTCACACGTTTCGTGGCCCCATAGGGAGCTCCACCGAAGGCCCCAGTGGCTGCGCCCGCATGCGGTTCCACCCCCCATTCTGGCACACCCCTCACACGTCTCGTGGCCCCATAGGGAGCTCCACCGAACGCTCCAGTGGCTGCGCTCGCATGCGGTTCCACCACCCAGTTCGGCACACCCCTCACACGCTTCGTGGGTGGCTCCATGGGGAGCTCCACCGAACGCCCCAGTGGCTGCGCCCGCATGCGGTTCCACCCCTGATTTCGGCAAACCCCTCACACGTCTCGTGGCCCCATAGGGAGCTCCACCGAAGGCCCCAGTGGCTGCGCTCGCATGCGGTTCCGCTCCCTTTTTTTCGGCACACCCCTCACACGTCTCGTGGCCCCATAGGGAGCTCCACCGAAGGCCCCAGTGGCTGCGCTCGCATGCGGTTCCACCCCCCATTTCGGCACACCCCTCACACGTTTCGTGGCTCCATAGGGAGCTCCACCGTAGGCCCCAGTGACTGCGCTGGCATGCGGTTCCACACCCCATTCTGGC